GCTTAGTGAAAGCTAAGCAAAGTAACTTTTATTTCTTAATATCACCTAATACCAAATTCTCATTTATGTTTTCCCCAGTTATTCCAACAGTATCTTTTATAGCTGTCTTATTTTAACCAGAATCCATTCACAGACTATACATTGCATTTAATTATCTCATTCAATATTTTAATTTTTTATTATGATAGATTTTAAGCAGAAAAATGTAGAATGATATTACATAAAAACATTATTATCTTTTGTCTTATTCTTTAATTTTATTTTAAAGAGAGCAAAATCAAACAAAATGAAACAGTGTAAAGCCAAACAATGACAGCAATACAGAACTTCAAAATAAGATAATAGAAAAATCAACAATGGCTACCATAATGCCTCATGTTATCTTCAAAATAGCTGTCCATACCAGAATACATAATAAAATCAAAACAGAATAGAATAAAACCAATCAAAACAAAACAATGAACGTGATATAGGACTTCAAAACAAGATAATAGAAAATCAACACTGGCTACCATAATGTATCTTGTTATCTTCAAAATAGCTTCCCATACAGTCAGACATAATAGAATCTAACAAGAAAAAACCTGAATAAAACCAAACCAGACAAAACAATGAAAATGATACAGGACTTCAACACAAGGTAGTAGGAAATTAACAGTCTCCTGCCTTCCTTTTTTAGACATTTTCTCTCCTTTCACCTTCACAATATCTGTTGTACATTTTGCATCTCACTAACTTCTGTTTTTTTTCCTCTAAATTTTGAAGAGAATAAAACAGCAGTAAAAGAAATCAAAACTGATAAGAGTAGGAAATTTACAATAGTTACTATATTGCATACTGTTGTACTCTAAATAGTTGTTGGGCTTTAGGCTTGCAAAGTCAATCGAACAATACAGTTCCTTTAAATTAACTGGTTGCTCGTGGAGCAAGGGGAGGCAGCTGTTCTCTCCCTAGCCCCTGTACTGGCAGGCTCACAGGCTGGGGCTTAGCTTCCATCTTGGCTCTCTGAACAAAGATCATGCTGGATTTCACATCATGCCCCTATGGAATCAGCACTGGATACCTCAGTATCTGTTTTTCTTCAAAGTAGATGTTCATTTCATTGTGCATTATACAATCGATTCTCATAAACTTTTTAGAAGTTCTACGCATGCAATAGTCTCTACATGTATACCTGTCTTTTCTGTATTAGAAGGAAAAACAAAGGCAGAACAGGACAAAACAAAACAAATTCCTAAAAAAACATGAAATAAAAAAGACAAATAACAATAGCAAAGAGCCCAGAACACTGAAAATATAGGCTTTTAAAGTAAGGTGATATGAGCATAACTAGGGTTATGATTCTGTTCTGTTATTTATTCGCTAATTTTCTGTCTAGTTGTGTCTCTTTGTGTCCTGTATCATTTTCATTGTTTTGTCTGGTTTGGTTTTATTCAGGTTTTTTCTTGTTAGATTCTATTATGTCTGACTGTATGGGAAGCTGTTTTGAAGATAACAAGATACATTATGGTAGCCAGTGTTGATTTTCTATTATCTTGTGCTCTTCTTGACTTCATTGTTTGTGTTGAGAATCTGCTATGATTCTGATAGGCTTTCCTTTATAGGTGATCTGTCTCTTCTCTCTAACAGCTTTTAATATTCTATTCTTATGTTGGATTTCTGGGATGTTGATTATTATATATCTGGATGTAGTTTTATTTTGGTTATGGGTATTTGGAGTTCTGTATGCTTCACTGATCTGCATGTCAGTTTCCATTCTCATGTTTGGGAAATTCTCAGCTATTACTTCTGTAAATAGCCTTTTGATATCATTTGTGTTGTCACCTTCCTTTTCATTTATCCTTATCAATCTTATGTTGTTTTTCTTTGCATCATCTTGCAGTTGTTAAATTGTTATTTCTTGATTCCTTGTTATTTTTAAACGATCTTTCCTTTCCTGTTCACTAGCTGCAATCTTGTCTTTGAGGTCTGAAATTCTGTCTTCAATTTTGATGAAGCAGTTTTGTCAACTTTCGATGGAATTTTTGATTTCCTGTGTATCTCTTTGAATCTGCTTCATGCATTATTTGTTTCTTCTATTGTTCATTCAGAGTTTCCATCTTTTTGAATTGTTTCTGTGATTTTTTAATTATGTCTTCTTTAAATGTGTTCAGCATTTCATTACATTTATTATTTTTTCTTTTACTTGGGAGACTGTTTCTGATTTGAGTTCTTTTATAGCTTCCCAGAGTTGTTACTTTACTTCAGTTGTTATCATTTCATGTATTTCAGATGTATGTCTCCTAGGCTTGCTTGGGTTGGGCTTGAAGTTTGAGATTGCATTTTGCTGTTTCATTTTGTCATTTTCCTATATTTCCAGGTTTTGAGTGATGTTTCAAAGCTTCCCCTGTGTTCTGGGAATCACTTGGCCCACTTTTGGCTCCCAGGACAGACAGCAGGCAACTGCCATCCACTTGGAGTTCACTGGGTATGGGCCAGTTAGGCCCATGGGGACTCCTGTGTGTCCTCCTGTGATTTGAGATATGGGGTGTAGTCTTACTGCCTTGGAATGACATTCCAAGGCTTTTGTGTGTGCAGGGTTTCAACCTGTGCATGCTCAGGGCCCAGGACTTGATTTTGCCACATTTTATTCATCTGTCTTTTCATTGCTTTAAATCAAGCTTCAGATATTATATAATTTCCCCCTCGTATTTCAGTATGCATTTCTAAAAATGTACAGTTTCTTACCTAACCGTAGTCATGTTTTCATACATAAAAAAATTAATGATTACCTAGTAATTTTTTCCCCCGAAATCCATTTTATTTCAAGGAGAAGAAGAAGAAAACCTAAAGCAGAATTTCAAAACACATCAATCAAGGGGAACAATGATAGATACATTGTGCAGTATCATCGTCAAATCGTTCAGCCAAAGCACAAGACATCTGCATTCAATTGTTGGAACAATACCGGCACAAATATTTCTCCTCAGTGAAATCAGAGAAATCAGTAGTACAACTATCTTAACAATTTTTATATACATATACATATGTTGTTTCAAAGTTTCCAGCTTATCCTTCTTTATGGCTCAGTAGTACTCCATTGTATAAAATACCACCTTTTTAAAAATCCATTCCTCAGTTGATGGGCATTTAGGTTGTTTCCAAGACCTAGTAATTCTTTTGTGTTATCTAATTCAAAGTCCTTAATCTAGTTTCCTAATTTGTTGAGCTATAAAAGTTATTTTTACAATGATTTATTTTAAATCTGTATCTAAACAAGATCCACATGACATTTGACTTTCATACCTTTTAAGTCTCTCTTAATCTAAAATAATTTCCCTTTAAGAGATTAGGCAGTTTTAAAATATTTTTTGCTTTTTTTCTTATGGCATTATTTAACTTGTTTCTGTGTTTCCTAAATACTGGAAGTAACATAAATGCCTTGCTCTTTAAGAACTCAGGTGAGACTGAATTTTCTATTACATCATATCAAGAGGCACATGATAATATGCTCTATTAGTGTTACTAAAGTTAGTACTTAGGTATACTAAGGTAAGGTGGTGATCTCCTGATCTTGCCACTGTGGAGTTAGGTTGTATTCTTGTGTTTTTTTTGTTTTTTTTTTTTTAAATCAGGACCAGGGATCGAACTCATGACCATGTGCTTAAAGGCAAGCGCTTATGCCGCTGAGCTAAATCCCCAGCCTCCTAGGTTGTGTTCTTAAGACTAGCAATTAGCTTGTGAAATAATACAGTACTTTGGTTCCATGTGAATATCCAGTTCTCTATAAACAGTTTCATTAGGTCTCGAAAACTTGTGATTTTTTAATTCTGTCATTCTTTCTACATTCATTAGCTAGCATTCTTCTGTGAAAAAGAGCTGTCCCTCATTACCTCAGGCTATTATTGTTTATGCTGAAATATACTTCCTATTGAAAAGATGGTATAAGTAACAAATTTTTAAATTTAATATCATTAAGGCGCTATAAAAGAGCTATACAAGAAGGTGTTCTTCAGGAACTCATAGCCTGGTTGTTAGATAAAACACATCAACATTGATGAGGCCAGGTGGTATGTATTCTTTTTATCAAGTGATTTGCACAAATCATAAATTCAGTGAAAGGAAGGGTCAGTGGGACCAACGTGGTCCTAAGGGTTTCGCAAGGGAGATTGCTTTTGGCACATCTTTAAAGGATAGACATGTTTTAAATAGGCAGACAAAAGGAAAAAATGTATTCTAGACCAGTGGTTGCAAACTTATTGCACACATGCTGCAGTGGGCTGATATCACTAAAAGCTCTAAAAGGTTTGTATGGAAGGTAAGCATTTGTAAGGAAGGTAAGCATGAATGCACATGGAGAGAAAAAGGACTTTACATACTCTGAAGGTCTAATACGGAAGTCATCTGTCTGGAGAAGCTGAGAATATGAGTGTCTTAGCCTATTTTCTGCTATTATAATACCATAACTGGGTAAATTCTAAACAATAGATGTTTACTTGATTCATGGTTATAGAAGTTGGGAAGTCTTAGCATGCTACCAGCATCTGAGGAGGGCTATGTGTGACATCATTCCATTACAGAAGTTATTACATGATAGAGGCCAATGATGAGTATGTAAACAAACAGAAATCCCTCGTGTATAACCCACTCCCACAGGAAGAGCTTTAGTCCATTCAGGAGGGCAGTACATTAATTACTTCCTAATACCATTGAGTGACAAATTTTCACATGATTTTTAGAGAAGACATTAAGCGAAGATGTAGAAATAAGGTAGGTAGGCCAGAAGCAAAAAATAGAAACAACCTTAAATTCCAGCTCAGGCATGTTTATTTTTATGCTTTAATCAGATGTGCTTTGGGTATTTGTAAACTATCTTTTTGTCTCATGGGAGGCAAAATCTGACTTTGTGAAAAACTAGAAGACAGATAAGAACGACCTTTGGAGAAGTTGCAGACTGACAATATAGTTGGCCTGCAGATAAATGTCTTAAAGAGTGACAATTTACCTTATTTCCCTTGTAGCTCGTGTGACTCCAACCCTACCCAAGCAAGACCGTCCTGTGCGTGAGGGGACCCGAGTGGCCTCCATTGAAACAGGGTTGGCTGCAGCAGCTGCAAAGCTGGCTCAGCAGGTAAAATGCTCAACACCAAGAAATAGTGCTGCTATTGCTCTCTGTTTGACAACTTTCTACTCAGACCTCCAGGTTAATTGGATCCCACTATTATGGCATTGAGGAGTGGATAATCTTTGGTCTTTATCCTTGGAAATATTCTATCCTCTCCTATATCCTTTACATCCCAATTCTATGCCAAACTGCTACCATAGGTTACCTGGTTAACATGATTTAGTATGAAACAAAATAATGGACCAGAAAAAAGCCCTCACTGATTTCACCTGCCTTTCTGGGTATTTAAAAGTCCCTCAGTCCTTTGCTCTCAGTTGAAGTCAGAGGGATTGTGCAGCTGAGTACATTTAAGTTGTCAGTCACTCACCAATATTGGAAATAGATCTGTTTTTCTAATAAAAGAGGTTTTCCTTGTTCTCTTTCTGAAACACTACCTCGAAATTCACCTCCTGCTTCTCAAGAAAAATCACCCAGTTTTTTTTGTCCTAAAGGATCAAATGTTCACTAGATTCAATTTTATGTGTTAGCATTACAATTTACAGACTTATTTGACATATGTAATGTAATCAGAAACTCTAGGAGCATTTGGAGGTGAATCTTCTGGTTCTTTCCTTATCCATATCCCCTTAGGTCTTTGTACCATAGATCTTATACTATAGAACTGTGGTGGCAAACCTATGGCATGCATGCCACCACTGGCTGTTAACACTGAAAACTCTAAAAGTTTTGCCATCACTGGTAGAGTGTTATTGAGTATATCTGCTTTATGTTAGGTACTTCCATGTACATTGTCTAATGTAATATGCCCAAAAGCCTTGTTCAATAGGTGATGTTTTCATCATTTTACAGGTGAAGAAAATGAGACTCACTTTAAGTGACTAGTCCAGGATAAAACAGCCAGTAAATGAAGGAGACAAGATTCAAACTTACATCCTCTTAACTTCAAATTTCACAATACTTGATATTTAAATAAAGTGGAATAGTGAAATGTTTTATATATTTTTGATGATTAAATCCTATTTAATTAAATTTAATAGAATGATGTTTTTCATATGATGTTATATGGAGCTGTGGTTTCTTAGAATGTCTTAGTAAATTGAAAGATGTAATTTGAACAAAAAGGTTTTACTACTTTAAATAAACAGATAAGCTAATTAAAGGTGTGAATACTACTCTTAAATGTCTTCTAAGGAGTAACTTCTATTTGGGTTGATTAGGGATTACCTTGAGGAAGAGGTTTTGAAATTGGGGAGGGTTTTTGCAAGCTAAACTTTTGGTAGGGGACTCAGAAGCATTCCAGGAAAGGGAAAATCTTTGATTCACCACTCAAAGCCTTCTTGATTTTGTATCTTAATTCATTCGTTGCTGACCCCTTGCTAGGCCATCATGCACACTCTATATGCTAGGTATGCTATGGTACTACTTGACCACACCATGTGTCAGACTATCTCATAACTTTGTATCTGCACAAGCTTTTCTGCCTATTGCAAACTGTACTCTTTCCTATCTCTTGCCAGCACTCTGTACCACAACCAACACTTTATTTCAGTGGACTTCCTCTATCCTTCCATAGCATTCTTTCATAATATTTATGGTCGGAAGTGTATTTTTTGTGTCCTTTATTATTAAACTATAAATGCTTGAAGAGTGGTAATACATCTAATTTAACCTGGTGTTGATACTGTGGTACATAGTGTGTTTGTTCAATGTTGGAGTAAATGGATGCGTGAATGAAGAGATCTGCATGGCTTTGAATTCTAGCTCTGCCACTTGGACAAATTACATATTAAGGATATAGCATTAATATATAACTATAAATTTATAACTATATATCCTCAAATGATATGTAGATATAGATATTCTGCAAAAAGTATGTATATCAGGGGAATGAAAACATGTGTAAACACTTTAATGCTAAATTATTTGAGATATCATTAGATTAATACAAGTTATCTTTGGCTTCTACAATTATATGAGATACTCAAAGTGATGACTATTAGCTTTCAGACATTTATTAGTATGGTGAACTATTGAAGTATGTATATGTAAATACACACACACATATATACATATGATATGTATGTATCTTAGACTTGTACTTGATACAGAATAAATAGGCTAGGCATATTAGCTTTCCATCATTATTATTATGGATTGGGTAGGTATAAATGCCCAGACCATTGAAAACCATGAATATCAGGCCAGAGAGTTTGAACTTGGGTGAGGACTGGCTAGTAGCTTTTTTTTTTTTTTCCCCGTTTGTACCGGGGATCAAACTCAGAACTTTGTGCCGCTGAACAAAATCCCCAACCCTGGATAGTAGCTTTTTGAAGAATGAAATTGTAAGGTATAAATGGTCCTGTTACAGTATAGTCTAGTCATCTTTACAAGTGTCTGGATGAATTACATGTGAAAGAGATTGGCAGCAAAGGTTGAAAAATTTAAGCTGTATAATCAAGATATGAAGAGGTTTCTGGAGTCAGATGAGAGAAAAGGGGACAGAAATGCCATTTCTACTATTGGGTGAATAGTGGTGTGGCTGAGAAAAGATACTGAAGCCAAATGGCTTGGATCTGAATCCCAGCTTAGCCACTTATGGTCTTGTAACCTTGGGAAAAGAATCTTTGCCACAGATTCTTTGTCCTAAAAATAGGATTTTTAATTATTATTTATCATTCTCACTAAGTAGTAAATGAGTGGTTATATAACAGTGCCTGGCATGTATTACTAATGTTATTATTCTTGTCCCCCAGAAATTGCTATGGTAGCCACAGCTGGTCATTTCCTCTGAAGGCAGGACTAGGATCCTGTTGCTAAGAGAAGGAAAAGAAGTGTAATCACTGAATTGCTCTGTGTGGCTATGTAGCACTTCAGAAGGTGAAGTCATTCACATGCTCTCAGCACTACCTTTCCAGGTTATCAGGGCTATAGATGCCCACTATACAGGTACCCACTATACCATGGATAGTAGATTCATAGAACAATGAATGGATGAAATAAAAAATATTGGGAGAAGTGATTTGTTCTTCTCATCCATTATTCAGGTTTTTAGACTTGGCAAACTAAAAGATTATCAAGACCATTCAGAGGAAGAAAAGCCATTATATGGAGTAAAGATAGAATAATAATTTACCATTTGTTGAGTTCCTACTATATGCTATGTATTTTTACATCATTTTATTTAATCTTTCTAACAGCCATGAAGAGTAGATTTTACATGAGGCTGCTGAGACCAAAGTCATTCAATTTAGGGAGCACAATCCTTGATTTCAACTCAGGCTTATCAACAAAGCTAATCTTTTCAGGTGTTCCATTTTGAGAAGTATGCAAGATGTGCCTTCAGATAGATCTGGTTAAATATACAGGATCCAACTGCTTTTCAGTTGTGAGGCTTTGGGTTCAAATTGCACCTTGATTTTCTTATAAAATGAAGATATTTCTTTCTTAGGGCTATTATGGTTAAATAAGATACTACTTACAAAGTGCAGATATAAATTTAGTTATTATTAGATGTGTCCATTCCACCTCATTCATGGAAATACTAAGGCCAAAACTGAAATTTCCAAACTCATTTACAGATCTTTAGCTACTCTACTGGTAAGTGACAGTGATGAATTAAGGATGAGTGGTACCAAATAGATCACCTCAGGTACTGGAAATTTTGTGTGTTACGTATACATGCCAGCTTAGACTTGCTGGAGATGGGGAGGGGAGTGACACGTTGTAGAACCATTGTCCATTGTCTTGATCTTTTTGTGGGAAATTGTCTTTTCTTCATTCCTGAATTCCCTCTTGCACGTGGCTTGTGTTTTAGGAGCTGCAGAAGGCCCAAAAGAAAAAGTACATCAAGAAGAAGCCTTTGCTGAAGGAGGTAGAACAGTCTCGCCCTCAAGACTCCAATCTCAGTGTGACAGTACCGGCCCCAGGAGTGGCAGCTACACCCCACCCTCCCACCTCTTCCTCACCCTTGCCTCCTCCTGAGCCTAAACAAGACACTCTGTCTGGAAGTCTTGCTGACCATGAGTATACTGCTCGACCTAATTCTTTTGGAATGGCCCAAGCAAACCGCAGCACCACACCCATGGCTCCCGGTGTCTTCTTGACCCAGCGGCGCCCTTCTGTTGGCTCTCAGAGTAATCAGACAGGACAAGGTACAATGAACATATAGTAGTAGAAACAAAGAATCTTGGGGCCATTTTATATGCAACCTAGGTGCTTTAGTAGATGAGAATTCCAGGGCGAGACACTGAACCTGAGGCCCTTACACTTGATTATCTGGACATGGAGAGCTAGTGACTGATGTTTAAGTAGAGATGAGATTAGGTTTAGGTTTTTAAAAATGTTTCTGATAGCTAGAGTGAAGGCTGGCCTGGCTGAAGGTGAGAAATCTAGAAAGAAAGCACATACATAGATATAGGCAGAAATGAAGCAATGCTGGAGCTCTGGCAGAGTTAATGGAGAGGGAAGAGTAAGCTCATCAAATAGGGAGACACATAGGACATGGGAAGTGATTTGATGTGGAGAGAAGGAGACAAGGGAGAATTATAGGTCTCAGACCCTCCTTTCTCCCAGTTTGTCCCTTAAAGGAGTCTCTATAGCGTACATAGTTAAGGTGCTGACATTGGTGTAATGTTGGGGGTTGGAGAAGATGGGCATTTCTAATGAAACAAGGCCAAGAGTGGCAATATGAAAAAGAACACTGGGTTATAATCACTATGGTGCCTGTCCAATCCTGGTAGGAATGATGAGGAAGTACGTATGCTTCCCTGCATAACCATGGAAGAAAAATAGGACCAAAGAAATCATTGGGGAAACAGAACTAAAAAAAAAATAAAACAACTCTAACCCTAACCAGAGAGACTATAGCTGCCTCAGGAGATCAGAGAGGAAAAGCCAAGGCATGGTATTGGATAGAAATTCTTAAGGAGGGCTTACCCAATATGATCTAAGGATAAACAATCTGTGGGGAGAGAGACAGAGGAAGGGAGATGGCCTCAGGACAGTTGGTAATGGAGCTGACATTGAACCCCTTGCCATACTCTTTGCTTACTTTTCCTTTTCCTTACAGGAAAGCGTCCCAAAAAGGGCCTGGCCACAGCAAAGCAGAGACTTGGCCGTATCCTGAAAATCCACAGAAATGGCAAACTACTTTTGTGAGCCAAGCCTCCATGTGTCCTAGCCCTCACCCTTCACCCCTATTGCCTTCTCCATTGTCAACGCTCGGGGAACTCCTGGATCCTGTCCACCCCAGACAAGGTGCTGAGGTGCATTGTCCTGCTTTCTTGGGACTGACCAAAGGCACAGGCCCCTCCACCAACTTCCCTTATTTCCCTTTCCCAAACCTATGAGTATCCTGCCTTCTTTTTCCATACCCAAGTAGCATGTAATTGGGAGAGGTTTCCAACTGATAACAGCTCACTTCTCTGCTCCTCTAATCCATTTCACTCTTACCTGCCTTGTCTGTTCCTTTACTCTACTGTCACTCCTCTGCCAGCCTGGAAGGCAGAATGAGGAGAGGCAAGAAGATAGCTTAGGCTCCTCATTATTTCTCTGGCCATGAAATGGGAGGTTCAGTGTTCAATACTTTCTGCAGCTCCAGCCCTGTCTCTAGAAGCCTGCCTATTTCTACCTATTCTTCTCCTTCTGTCCTCTACTCCATTGGTTGTTCCTCACCTCCAGATTTGTTCTTTGGATAAGGCTGTTTTCTCTGCCCTCTCTTACCAAATACTTCATGGAAAAAGTGAGGGCCTGGAGTCTCCTTATTTCCCCACTGTGAGCCATTTTTGGAGTTGGCCTTCGAAGGCTGACTTCATTTATCCTCGGAAACAAAGGAGATACCTGTCACTTTTTAAGGTGAGCAGAGGGCAGACATCCAGTCCTTTAACTATAATGTTTTTAACCCATTGGAGGAAGCTACTTTTGGCTGGGTACACATGAAGCCTCTTGTCCCAGAGTGAACACCAGGAATTTGTCTGGAATTTGAGGTTCTGCATAGCATTATCTATATGAATATTACTAGGTGAAAACCTCTCTCAGAAACATGAAATCGTCTGCCACTGAAGTACCTTGGCTTTGCAGCCTGCTTCCTCTATTTGTACCATGAAACAGAGCCTGGACCTTTTGGAGATGGTGTAGTGGAACACCCTACTCCCAGGTCCTCCTGTCAGAAACCTCCATCCTTATTTCCCCACCTGAGGTCTGAGTCTGAAGAAGACCTCAGGACTCACATCTTTAGTCCTAGACTTTTGTACAGCTAGATCCCCAGATCAGTGTTCAAGTAGAGTGCAATTGGCCATTCATGAGCCCAAGCCTAGGAGACGAGATGACCATTTGTGAAGGAGCAGACCTATCTGATCCACCCTCCTCTTTCCTTTGTGGATTATCTCCACTTTCCAGACAGTGCCCTTCTTCTCCCTCTTGTCTTGCCTCATTGGCAATCTGGGCTTGTGGAGAATGTTTCCTTTCCCACATCATTTTGGCATTGCCAAGAAGATGTGTATCATTGTTCTCTACCCTCTCCTCCAACTTCATACCAGCTGACCTAGTGCTTCTGGGGAAGTTTTACAAGCTACCACCCAAGCCACAGGGAATTTATGAGACTTTTTTTGGTCTTATTTGTATTTGTAGTTCGCTTTATCCATAGTCCCACCTCTTTCCTTGGAGTCTTTCCTTGGAGTCAAGAGTCCCTTAGACCATTTGTTTTTTTCTACCTTGGGGACCCCAGGTGCCAAGCAGTCCACCATCTAGTCACACCAAAGGCAAAAAGCCTTCCTACCTCCCTTGTAGTATGTAAGGTCCCTACTTTCCTCCCCTCCATTTCTACCAAGCTTTGCTTATCTTGGTGATTTCAAGGCAGCAGAGGGTAGTGAGGGGAAGGCAGGAGAGGCCTCTGTTCCTCTATAGGCAACTGCCTGACTAGACACTGACTGCTGTTACCAAGACCAGGTCCCCAGTCCCTTTGCCTATTTACATCCTCTCTTAATCTTTCAAAGGCAGCTAATTGCTAACAAATCCACCTGATTCTGGGCCTCTTTTCCCTCTGTTTCTCTGTTAGAAATTTCTGTGGAGATGAAACCCAGCCTCCATTTCCCTGGGTTCATTTAGTTTAGTTAGGTTCTTGGAGCCTACTGTTTGTTGTTTTGTGTTTTTTCAATGAAAAGAAAGTTTACCCTCAAAGTTATGCTTTTCCAAAGAGGCTAGTGGTTTTTTTGTTGTTGTTTTGTTTTGTTTTTTAAATGTTTCAGGTTCTAAAGGAAGTGAGTTGGGGAGGGGTTGGAAATAGAAGTAACCAAGGTTTAGAACATGGTGAGATAGTTACCTCTGATCTTTAACACCCAGCAGAGAGCTGGGGGAAGAATAGGAGGTAGGGAGAAAGGATTTCTATTCACCCTTAATATATTTTTTACAAAAAATCAAAACAATTTAAAAACAAACCCACCGCTTCTGTACATGTCTAAATATATTTTTAGAAGTGGGTAGGATTGTGACTTTCTGATGCAGGGCCTTTTTATAAATAGGTTAGAGTAGCATCATCCAGACTTCTGTTGTTTTTTCCCGTTGTTTCTTATGTTGTGTTATTAATGTAATTTATATATTTTTTTTTAGATTTTCCCTTTCCTATAGAGATAAAAGTGATTTATCTTGGCAGTTGCTTTTCTTGGCATTATTTGTGTGGGTGTGTGTGGTGTGGATATAGATGTGTGGGTGGTGGTGTAGAGAAGGAATGACACCTTCTCTTTGTCTCTCCCTCAGTATATTGTCAGTAGGCATTTCCCTGGTGTCCAACCTTATATCTGAGGTGAGAAAGGCACAGAATTCCTGCTCACACAATGCATACACCTCAGGATACAGTTCAGACACTTGTGGCAGATATTCAGAAATACAGTGAGCAAGAAAATACAACAGTTCAAAGGTTCTTGACAAGTTTGCTGAGAAAATTTACCATAGCTTCCATGGACTGTTTTTATTAATTATACTAGTGTCAATGTTCTGTGAGTATGGTTTTTTTCCCCTTTCTCTGACTTTTCCAAGTGCTTATGGTACTGTGCTTAGGGACAGTGTAAGCAATGAAATATAATTATCGGAACAAACATATCATGCTCATTTCTTTGTGCCAGTCACTGTTCTTAATGCTTTATGTATTTTTGACTTATTTCATTCTACCAATGAGAAAACAGGCAACGTAACTTTACAGTATTACACAGTAAATTCTGGGACTATCCTGATTCTAGAATCTGTGTTCTTATCACCCTATACTGCCTCCCCTCACTGATAGCCACTTTATTAAGTAACTTTTGGGTGCTGGGCATTGGATTAGAGATTTCACTTAGCATATGTCATTTAATCTCTGCTGACTATCCTATGAGGTAATTAACCCTATTTTTCATTTAAGGAGAAAAGAGATTGCCAGTGGTTTTCCATAGTAGCTTCTTCCCAATTCCAAAATTCATACACTTTCCCTTTTACTCTGTTAGAAAATCTAAGGTTCAGTCACACAACAGATATTTATTGAATACGTGTTGCATGCCAGGTGCAACATTGAGAGTTGTGTCCTAAGGAGAACCACCAGGATCTGGGGCCTCACATTTAAATTTTCCATCACACTCTGGTTTTTTTTTTTTTTTTTTTTTTTTTTTTGTACTGGGGATCAAATTGACGACTTCGCACTTGCCAGGCAGGTGCCTATGCCACTGAGCTAAATCACCAGTCCTTCATCACACTCTTTGTGACTCAGAGCAGGCCAATTACTGTCTGTGAGTCACCTGTAAAAGAAAGAGTTTGAACCCAATCAAGATTTCTCCCTTGTGAAGATCTTTTTTCTTTGAATCCGGGGTGAGGCTAGCTGGGTTTGACATTTACTGGTTAAACAATCACTTCTAGTTCATACAATCTGAGTCTCAGTATTAGGCAGTGTTTAGATAAAGAAATTCATTTCTTTATCTACACAAGGAAATGTATCTCTTTGTAGACAAAATAGAGAAAGCTACTTGAGAGGCTGAAACAGGACAATTCAAGGCCAGCTTGGGTAATTTGGTGAGAATCTATCTTGAAAGAAGGGCTAGGGATGTAGCTTAGTGGTAGAATGCTTATCTAACATACATGATACCTTGGGTTCAATCCCTAGTACCTTAAAAAAAGGTAAAAGAAGGATTTCTGAGTTTTTTAATGACTGGTCATCTGGGTTCTTTTTGTCAGCAGCTCCCATCCTCTGTGAAGAAACAGAAGCAATATCACCAGCTTCAGTTTAGAATATCAGCTATATTCTTGTTCACGTTTCTTTCTAGTGCAGGCAGGAAGTATCAGCATATCAGAGGCACCTTTCTAAAATTTGAACAGCTTTCTAAAATTTGAACAGGCACCTAAATTCAGTCTTCCCTTTTTCTGGAATAGAGTAGAAAATTTACAGGACTTGTTGCTAAGAATTGTCTTTTTCAATGAATAACCCAGTAATTTAGGGGAAGTGTCTTACTGCATTTGTTGCTACAACAAAATATCTAAGAGTGGATAATTTATAAAGAAAAGAAGCTTGGTGTGGTATGTGCCTGTCATCCTAGCATTCTGGGAAACTGAGATGGCAGGATCATGGGTTCAAACCTAGCCTGGACAATGTAGTGATTTATGAAACCGTGTTTCAAAATAAATGAAACAAGATCTGGGGATATAGTTTAGTGTGAAGGCCCTGGGTGTAATCCCCAAAACTACCAAACAAATGTTTATTTTGCCTTATGGTTCTGGAGGCTAGAAAAATTAAGATTAGGTGGCCATCTACTATGTCATCTACTATGAGATACTACTGCATCTCATAGTAGAAAAGCAGAAAAGGCCAGCCAGTGTAAGAGAAGCACATGTGTGAGAATGAGAGTTGGTGTTGGGCTTGCTTATTTATGAGAGAACTAATCTAGCTTTAATAGAACTAATCTGATAGGGGCTGGGGATTTAGCTCAGCGGCATAAGCACCTGCCTTGCAAGCAGGCAGTCGTGAGTTTGATCCCTGGTACCGATAAAAAGGAAAAAGACAAAAAAAGAAAAAAAAAAGAACTAATCTGATCTCTTGACAATGATACTAATCCATTTATCAGGGTACTGCCTTCATGACCTGGTCACTTCCCAAAGGACTTACCTCCCAAAACTGTTATACTGATGACCAAATTTCAACATATGTTTTTGGCAGGGACAGACCACCTACAGACTATAGTAGTGAGATTACTTGTGTGAGTTGTAGCTTCTACATTTGTCAACTGAAATTATCTCAACTATGAAGCCTTCTCTAAGCTTGATTGTCTTTAAACTCTGAGTGCTATTGATCCAAACTGAATCCAATAGCTTTAACTTGTCCTGAGTACATATCCCCATTTCTGTTTACTCAACTGTTCCCTAAACTGAAGTACCCAGGCCCTTCCTTTAGGACCCTGTTCATATATGAAGGGAGTGAAATGGCTCTTACGTGGGGATAGTACAGCACAGGGATAGAGATGAGCATAGGCTATTGAGTAGAGAGGATTAGTCTGAGAGAGAAATAAGGAGTTCATGGAAGTCTTCTTGGTTGTTGTGTAAGCTGAATTATGAGAAATAATTAGCCAGTTAGGTAAAGAAAAATAGACTATTCCAAACCAAGGCAATATCATAATAAAAACAAGGGGGGAGAAAGGTACGCATGTAGAGAAGAACAAGCAATTTATAATAATTGCAGCTGTGATTTTCTTTTGGGAGGAGATACGTAAGCAAAATCTCCAAGAGGGAACATATAGTTTGAGAAGGCAGCCATAATTGATTTATTTTTAGACAAAATACATATTTTAAAACCTCAGCCATGCATGATAGTACATGCCTGTAATCCCAGCACTCTGGGAGACTGAGGTCGGATTGTGAGTTCAAGTGCAACCTGGGCAACTCAATGATTTAGGAAGACCCTGTCTCAAAATAGAGTACTAAGATGGACTGGGGGATGTAGATCAGTACAAAGGCTCTACTTTAGGTTCACTCCCCATTAGTATGAAAGAGTATGAACCTTAGATAATAGAGAATGATTTTGACATTTGTTAAATGATCTGACTTTATGCCATGAATGACAGAGAAACATTTAAAAGGTTTTAAGCTGAAAATGGCATGATCTAGCCTGCTTTTACAAAGGGTACTTTTGGAGTTGGGAAGGGGTGAAACAGGGAGACCAGTGAGAAAGATACTGACAGAGAATTGGGGAGGGCACTATCTCATCTTCTAGTGCCCCATCAAAATGCCATTTCACTAAGGAAGTGTTTAGAAAAATGCCAAAACAACTCTTTAACTAGACTTTTAGTCCCATAAAGGGCAGAAATCCTAGACCGTTTTCAGGAGCCGTAACTATAGTATCAGCCATATGCACAATCTAAAAGACAGAAAGTGTACTCTTCATCCCCTTCTCAGTTACTATCTGGTGAAGTAACTCACTTGGGCAAGCCCTGTTATTTTCCATAGGACTACATTATAATGCCAGCACTCACTAGTGAATGTGGTAAGAGAGATATAATGCCCAGTTTAGATTTTCCTTCTCAGGAGTCAAGCCTGCCCCACATTATACAACTTTTCAGGACTATTTCTCCGAAGTTCTGTTTTCATTGTCCCCTCCTGCTTAAAAAGATTCCATGGTTTCCCTTTGTGTATCACACCCTTCAGTTCTCAAAGATTCCCAGAACCTGGCCCCACTTGGAGACATTAGGCTATTAGGGTGGAAAGGAATGTACCTGGGAGTTGAGAAGATCAGTGATATACTTCAGCATTGCTACTCACGTGACCTTCACCTGACCCATTTGGTATTTCCTTACTTCAGTTTCATCATCTGTAAAATGAAGACAATTGCCTCATAGAGTCATTGTGAGAAATTATAGTAACTGATATTTTTAAAGAATTCAGTATCTGGCACTCAAGTGATCAATGAGTGTAGTTTAATTTTTCCCAGTAAAGTGTACTCAAAAAGCCTATGACTCATTTTTCTAAACTGCAGAAAAAATGAGCCTTTAAAGGAATTGGGGTGATTATTTCAAACAGGCAGGAAATTAAATTGACTTCCTCAGGAGTGATGTTTGAAGCAATCAGTGATAGCTGGTTGAATCAATAGGTGTGGTAGACCTTAAACTATAGAGGAGATGCAATCAAATTTCTGACACAAAGTTCCTGGAAACTGCCAGGATATCATCCATCCCATATCAATGATTTATTTCTATAGTGGCTTCAGAGCTCCTATGTTAGGCCTATTGCATGCCATGGAAGGGCTTGATTTTCAAGGAGCATGTGATTTAGTACAAGGACATTGAAGAGTGTACTGGGAAAAATAGTGTTACCAGTAATTACAGAGTACTATGGCACCATAAAGGAACACAACCAACCCTATCTAAAGAACAAGAAAGGCTTCTGGGAAGAAGTGACATGAGTTTTGAAGGTTATTCACTAGGTAAGGGAACATAGAAGGATGAAGTGAAATAGAGTATTTACAAACAAAAGTAAGCAAAAATAAATCATGAAGCAGAATGATATGTGAATGGATTCACAAGCTCTTAAATTGAACTGGAGTACAGTACAGTAAGTATTGGATGAAATTGAAGAGGTAGGTGGGGACTGGATTATAAAGGTCTATGTGTCAGATTTCTCTTACTGTGTCAAAGTACCTGAGAAAAATCAACTTAAAGGTTTCTTTTGGCTGTCAGTTTCAAAGTCCGTGGTGCATCATGGTGGAAGCACATGGCAGAGAAAAACCTGTTCACTTCTTAGTAACTGGGGAGCAGAGAAAGGAGGGGGTAGTTCCCTTCAATGCTGGCTGTGAACTAACTTCCTTCCACTGTGCCTTACCTCCTATAGATTTCATTATTTCCCAGTAAGTGCCACAGGCTTATTGTGAGCATACCTATAATAAATATAGTCCAGACCATTAACAATCTGATTTATGTTTCAAAATACTCTGTGGCAATTCTGGAGAGTCTGAAATTTGCCAACCTGGAAGCCAGTGTGAAGGTAGTTGTAAGAATGTGGTTAAGCTGTAACTTCCTTTCAAGAGTTTGCCCCCAGTGAACTAACTTCCAGTAAGCCCTCACTACATACCAATAGCACCCCAGGCTGGAGACCTAGCATTTAACACTTGGACCTTTGCAGGTGGAGAGAAGAGAGAAGACAAAAACAGGTCATGTGTCCCTTTTCAGTCAAATCATAGCTCTGCCTCTCTTAAAGAGTAGCACTTAAATTTGAAAGTATAGGATTTGGAATGTGAAAAAACAAATGTCCCCCAGGGAGGCAACCTTTGTGGCTTCCTCTACAATAAAGATAAAGGAGCAGACATACAAGCATTGGTAGATATGCTTTAATGGATGCCCTTCAACCTCCCTGCCTTTTTCCAACCAAGCCTCATCTTCATGGGTTATGAATACAGCAATGAAGCATAGAGAAGTCTAGTGAATGAACTGTTGAACTCTTTAAGAGCCAACCATTTTGTGAGACAGAAGCACAGTATAACAGTTTTAAAAGTTAAATTGTACCACAGTTAGTGCTATAACTAGGAGAGAAACACAAAAGTGCCCTAAGGAGCTTGAGGTATATGTGTATGTGAGAGTGTATTTGTGTGAGAGAGAGGGAGAGTCAGACAAACATTGGGTGTGTATGAGAGAGCCAGACAAATTAGACGCTGAGAGGAAAGGGATAACACTTAGTAGAAATAAAGTTTCCTGGAGGATGGTGACTTTGCTAATAAGTTTGGTAGACATAAAGCATTTGCAAATAACAGAAAATGCAAGTGAAGCACATGGCACTGGCTTGTATAATTAAAATATCTAGAGGTACATGGATATCAGGCACAATTTGATTAGAGCTTGTGTATGTCAACTTTGCTTTCAGAATACTTCTTCAAAGTCACAAGATGGCTGCTTGCAACAAATGGAGACATGCTTATTTCCCACAATCATTTTTCAAAATATCCAAGTTTTGTGCTAGTTGAAACATACCTGACTTGATCCCTGTGGTCCAGGAAGGCCAAGTACTGATGTAATCCTGGATTGTGTGGTACAATCATTGTGAAAAAAGTATCCTTTGGGGCTGGGAGTGAGATCATCCCAAAGAAACATATGAAGTTAATGTAACGCTTCCACTTGTGCTTATTTGTCATCTATATATTACCTTTGATGAAGTATCCATTAAAGTCTTTTGATATTTTTTTAACTTGGTTGTATTCTGTGGTTGAGTGTTGAGAATTTTTATATATATATGTATCATAAACACAAGTCCTTTGTTAAATATGTAATTTGCAACTATTTTCTCTTTTATAGCTTATATTAATATTTTAATTTTTGAGTTTTATCAGTACACATTTGCAGTACATATTGATCACATTCCTCATGGGGAGTTGGTACATTTACGTAACACATCTCCATTCTTTTGTCATCCCCTACCCCACCACTGTCTCCTCCCTCCATCTCTTGGTGCCTGTCACATATACAAATATCTAACTCTGAATTTTCTATTATCTTTTCCTTTGCTCTTTATACTTTGGGTTTTCCATAGAAGAGAAACCATGTGATATTTAAGTTTGTGTTTATTTCATTTATCATTATTATCTCAAAGTAATTCATTTTCCTACAAATGATTCAAGTTTATCAAAGTTTATGTCAGAGTAATACTCCATTGGTTATCAGTACCATATTTTCTTCATCTGTTGAACATATAGGCTGCTTCCAAGATTTAGCTACTGGTATTATGAATTGTACTTCTAAAAACATGGGTAAGCATATATCACTGTGATATGATGTCTTTAACTCTTTTAGAAATATGCCTAGAAGAGAAATGGCTGGGTCAAAGTAAACTTGTAGTTTTAGTTTTTTTGAGGAATCTCCATACTGATTCCTGTAGTGGTTGTACTAGTTTACATTCCCAGTGACAATGTAGAAGAGTTCCTTTTTCCAACAGCCTTACCAGCATTTGTTGTTATTTGACTTCTTGATGATAGCCATTTTTCTGGAGTAAGATGGAATTTCAATGATGTTTTAATTTGTGTCTATAATAACCAGTAATACTGCACATTTATTGACCATTTGTATTTATTCTGAAAAGCATCTATTCAGTTGCCCATTTTTTGATTGGGTCTTTTATTGGGGGGGGGCTCTAATTTTTTGGAAGTCTTTATATTCTAGGTATTAGTCCTCTGACCAAGAAATAGGTAACTTTTTTTGCCATTCTGTACATTTTCTCTTCAATCTTGGTTGTTTCCTGAGCTGTGCAGATTCTTTTTCATTTGATATTATCCCATTTATTGATTCTTGGCACTATTTCTTTTACCACTGGTGTTCTGTAAAGAAATTTCTTGCCTATGCCTATGTCTTCAGGAGTTTTACCTACTTTTTCTTTCATTCTTTTTTTTGAGATAAGGTCTTGCTATGTACTTCAGGCTGACCTTGAACTCACTGTATAGTTCAGGCTGGCTTCAAACTCACAGCAATTCTCTTGCTTTAGCCTCCTGAGTACTGGGATTGCAGGTGTGCACCACCATACCTGGGTTGACTTTTACCCTACTTCATCTTCCAGCTGATTGTTTCTGTTTTAACATTTAGATCTTGGATCCATCTTGATTTTAGTTTAGCACATTGTGAGATATATGGTTCTATATTCAGTCTTCTACATCTAGATAGCCAATTGTCCCAGCACCGTTTATTAAAGAGACTATCTTTTCTCTAGTATATGGTTTTGGCCCATTTGTCGAAGATCTAATAGCTGAATGTGCCTGGCATAATTTATGCATCCTCTGTTCTGTTGTATTGCTCTGCATTTGTGCCAGGACCATGCTGTTTTTATCATTGTAGCTTTGAACTATAACTTCAAATCCAGGATTGTGATACCTCCTGTAGTGCTTTTGTTACTCAGGATTACCTTTGCTATTCTAGGTCTCTTCTGCTTTGCTATCAATTTTAAAATTGTTATCTCTAGTTCTGTGAGGAATGTTGTTGCTATTTTGATTGGGATTGCATTAAATCTATATACTAGTTCTGGGATTATGGCCATTTTGGCAATATTCCACCTATCCAGGACCTGGTGACATCGTTCCTTTTTTTGTTATCTTCAATTGCCTTTTCAGAGTACTTTAGCCTTGATAGTAGAGTTCTTTCACTTCCCTGATTAAGTTAATTCCTACACATTTAATTTTTCTTGATGCTACTGTAAATATTACTGTTTTTCTAATTTCTTCCTCAGTGAGTTGATTTTTGGTGTATGGGAATAGTATTTTTGTGTGTTGATTTTGTATCTTGCTGTCTTGCCAAATTTGTGTATTCTACGAGTGTTTCAGTGGAAATTGTTGAATTTTCTATATAGAGGATCATGTTCTCTGCAAATAATGGTACTTTGACCTTTTCTTTTCCTATGTATACCTTTGTATCTCATTGTTTTGCCTGATTATTCTGGGTAATGTTTTTTTTTTTTTCATTTTTCGTTTTTATTGGTACCAGGGATTGAACTCACGACTGCCTGCTTGCAAGGCAGGCGCTTATGCCGCTGAGCTAAATCCCCAGCCCCCTGGCTAATGTTTTGAGTGATATGTTGAATAAGAATGGTGACAGTAGATATCCTCATCTTGTTCCTGGTTATAAGAGGAAAAGCTTTCAGTTTTTACCCATTTAGTATGATCTTGGCTGTAGGTCTGTCATAAATGGCTTTTATCATATTGAGGTCCTTTTTTATCACCTATTCATGTTTTTATCAGGAATAAATACTAGATTTTGTCAAATGCTTTTTCTGCATCTATTGAAATGATCACATGATTTTTGTCCTTACTTTAGTTTATGTATTGTATTTATGAAACTTATTTGGCCATGATGTATGATCTTTTTCATGGACGATTCTTTGCATTCCATTGGCCAGTATCTTCTTGAGGATTTTTGTGTCTCTCTTCATTAAAGAGCTTACCTGTAGCTCTCTTTTTTATTGGATTCTTGTCTCATTTTGAAATCAGGGATAGTGAAACCCATCTCTTTAATTGTATTGATGTTTATTTGATGTTTTATGCCCATTTCTGCTTGTTTTTATCAATTTGGGTACACTGGTATTAGGTGCATATGTGTTTATAACTGTCATTTATTTCCTTTGAATTGTGTTCACTTAACCAATGTATAGTAACCTTCTTTGCCTCTTTCGAGCGCAGTTCTCTTGAAGTCCATTTTATCTGAAAGTAGGATAATTACTCCTGCTTGTTTTAGAGTTCACATTGCATGAAATATTGTTTTCATCCTTTGATTTTTAGCCAATAAATTTGTTTTTGGTTTGACATGTTTGTGATAGGATCATAAATTATATGCTGTGTTTCTTAAACCACCAATGATGTATGCATGACTATTTCATTGGGTAGCTTTTTATCAATTTGATTAGTAAAAATAATGGCAAAAGTGATTAAATCCATTTGCTTCACTATTAGGAGAATCTGCCTGTTGGATCAGTCATGCATGTGCCACTGGTAGTTCAAGTTGACAGGATCGTTAAATGCTTCTTTTAGACAGTATGATTTTGTTTCTTGATCCATTCTGTTAATCTGTGTCTTTTGGTGGAGAGAATTGAGGCCATTCACTTTGGGATTTATCTCTGAAAGATATTGACTTACTTCAGTCATTCATTGCATAGTTTTTCTATTGCTGAGTCCCTTTCTTTCCCTTCTACTTAACTGCTTACCCTGTCTCATATATTTGTTTTATTGGACCTTTTGGAATTGTTAGCTTCATTGGATCTTTATAGGATATCTTGAGAGGTTTTTTATTTTTAATTTTATTTAAAGAGAAAAAAAGCAAAACAAAAAAGTGTAGCAACAATACAGAATTTAAAAAAAATTAAGAAATCACTAGTTGATAAATTACATACTGTCATCTTAGAGATAGTTGTTACAGTTACAAAATTAAAGCATATAAGTGGAAATTCAAACAGTAATACTGCCAACAGTTCTGCTCAATGATCCAACAAAAGTTAGTAATATGGTTATCTATCTTACACACTTAAACATACATGCAATTATATCCTTTAGAGCACTTTCTTTTCCTCTCTTTGTATAATAGCGGTTATACACTTTGGGTTTTATTACTCCTACAGATCTTATTACTTTACATTATAGACAAAATATGATATTTATCAATATGATTCTTATTTCACTTATGAGGATAGTATCAAGTTGCCTTCATTTATCTATAAAGGCCTCAAGATCATCTTTTTATAGCTGAGTAATATTCCATTGTATAAAAAACCACATCTTTTTTTTATTTAAAGAGAAAAAACAAGACAAAGCAAGACAGTAAAAGGCTACAGTAATACAGAATTTCAAGAGAAAAATATACAGTAAGAATTCACTAGTAAATAGATTACATATTGTCATCTCAGAAACAGTTGTCCAGGTTACAAAATTAAAGCATACAAAGTGGACATTAATACAGTGAGATTGCAGGCAGTTCTGTTGAATGATCCAACAAAAACTCAGTAATATGGTTTTCTATCCTACACTCTTAAATACTCTTGCAGTTATATCCTTTAGATCACTTTCTTTTCTCCCTATATTACGCTAACAATCACATATTTTGGGTTCTATTACTCCCACAGTTGTTACAACTTTTTCTTTAAAGAGGAAAAGAAAAAAAGATATATAAAACAAGAAACAAGACAAAACAAAACAGAACAAAAAAAATCCCAATGTGACAAAGCAAAACAGAGTCAGAACAGGAGGATGGACATAGTATATAATGAATGCTAAAAGAGATTACTAGGTGATCAACAATGGTTACCATTATGCCTCTTGTTATCCTACAAAGAGGTGCCTATATCAGCTGGTATAAAAGTATTGAACAAAACAGTACAGAATAAGACCAGTAAAACCCACATTGGAGACGTTGCAGGACTTCCAAAGAGGATAAAGTCAAACTGTAATGGGCATCATAGAGTATCTGGTTGCCTTCAAAGTGGTTGCCTGTACCCTCAAATTTGATACAACAGTAAAACTATGAACTAAATAAACCTCTTTAAAAATAATGAGAAAAGAAGGAAAATGGAAACAAAGGTTTTGTAAATAAGGAGGGGGAAAACGGATTAAAAGGAGGATAAGTGAATGGAAAAAATAGGAATTGAGACAAGTCTGGTACAAATAGAAAGTCTCTGATGAAAGTGATCCTTATATATATTTAAAGTGTACCAATAAACATTAA